GTCTGCACAGAGAGAGAGAGAGAGAGAGAGAGAGAGAGAGAGAGAGAGCGTGAGACCGAACGGCTGAACTGCAGAAGCCCTGTAATCATAAGTGAGGACGCGGCAGTACCTCCTTGTCGAAGTTGGCTTTGGTGAACTCCAGCGAGTTGAGGAGCGCATTGGTGGCGGCGAGCTTGACGTTGTTGCTGGGCTCCTCCTTCCTCATGCCCTGGATGATGGCCGTCAGGATCTGGTTGGCGTTGTCCTGAAGGTGCTCGGGGTCCTGACAAACCGTTTGCAGGGTAAATCAAACAGATGACATCAAACACACAGCAGGGAGTGAGTGTAGGCCAGTCGAGGTGAGTGGCTTTTTGAGTGGCTCAGTGCGATATGCGGTAATATCACCATATATATATATATATATATAAAATGTTTGTGAAGTGGCACAGCTTTTTAAATATCTGAAAGTACTACATTCTTAACATCAGTCAGTCAAGCATTATATTAAATTTTTAAAATGTATGCATTTAGCAGACGCTTTTATCCAAAGCGACTTACCTTTGCGCTGCTAACGCAATGCTCTACCACTGAGCCACAGGAACATATCATTATATATGATAATCAAGTATTATTTAATGATAGAACTACTTAAGTATTTAGAATTAAAACCATGTATGAATGCACATTAGTCATTTTAAATGAACTTGCTGCTTTTTTGGTCACTCAGTGTTTCTGTAAAAGAAATGGGGGAAAACTAACAATAATACTGATAAGATAATAATAATAATAATACTTAGAATTCTACAAATAAGAACAATATAAAACGCACTAAGGATTAACGAGCTGCTGGATTCATGAATATTAATCAGGTTGTGTGCATTCGCTCGAATTGATTTGCTGAAATTAAAACAAGGAGGATAATATTTGAGCACCAGCCAATGATATTGCCATTTGCGCATTAGTTCCGCCCACTACTGGAGAAACCCGGCAGTTCTTAAAAGCTGAAGAATTCCAAAGGAACGCTGTTATTTTGACAGGAAAATACAACAAAATATATCATTTACATGTAGCACGTCAATTCTGCATGGTATGTAAGACTCTCTCTCGCTCTGTCTCTTTCTTTGCGTGTGTGAGAATTAGCGACGGCGAGTCGTGCGCCTTCACACTAGAGCAGTGGTTCCCAATCCTGGTCCTGGAGAACCCCCAACACTGCACATTTTAGATGTCTCCCTATTCAAACACACCTGATTCAACTCATCGGCTCATTAGTGAAGACTCCAAGACCTGAAGTGGGTGGACCAGGATTGGGAACCACTGCACTAGAGTTTACGGTACGTCAAATACAGGTGCGCTGCGCATCCATTGAGATGAACTGAAAAATAGCACAGATTGCTTGACTGAGAGTGAAACTCTGAAGCACTCAGTCAGTGTGTTCGGCGAGTGAAAATATATCTGTGCTAAACTTGTACTTAGCCTCCAACTCACACACTGGCGAGTAAAATCTGAGAATGTATTAGCCAGTGGCTAATATTAGACATCATTTAGTCGCCCAGAGTGAAGATTTAGTCGCAATGTAGAGGGTTACCAGATGAATATTTCTTAAAGCACTGTTTTACTCACCAAGGGTAGCTGCACAGGATCTTCTTGAGGAACAGAGAGGCACTTTGGGACACATTTTGGTAGAGCTTACTGAGGTCAAACTTGGCTGCCTGAATTCTGGCCTCTGTCTCAGCAGGGTCATTCTCAGTAAACGGCAGTCTCCCGCTGAGCCTGAATGGTGTACGGCATGACAAAAGCTTCAAGTTACACACTAGAATAGTGTTCATGTCAAACATAATCACAGCCACTGACAGCTCACAAGCTCCAGAGAGCTTCTGGAATGCGAAGACAAAACGCAAGAGACAACACACAAATTGTAACAATACAAATGCTCCCACTGACATAAGACAACAGACAACAGACCCCATTTCCTTTCAAAGACAGAGCTGCAGTGGACAACACTCACATGATATACGTCAATACGCCAATGCTCCAGATATCAGCCGGTGGACCCACCACATCTCCTTTCAACATCTCAGGAGCTTTCAGTAATCAGCAGAGATTAAAACACATTGTGTAAGTGTGAAGAAATGTGCAATTACTTATAATAAATATATAACTAAAATATTAAATGAGAGGGAATGGTATGCCATAGGAATATCTCACAAAGAAATAAAATACAATGTTTTACCTAAAAAGCTCTGGGATTTATATGAAACAATATATTTAAAAAACTGTCTTACACATATAATCCAGTGTTCCAATGGGTGGGGAGAACTGCTTCAGGAACAGTGGATTGAAGGTCTGTGCACTACCAAAATCAATAATCTTAACAACATTCATGTACGTGACGATGATATTGTCTGGTTTGATATCCAGATGCAGGATTCTCCGGCTGTGCAGGTAGTCCAGACCCTGAAGTATCTGTACAATATATGCCACCACGTCATCCTCTGAGTATCGGAACCTAGAAAGAGAGATAAATGATAAGAACATCACAACCAGAGGTGTGTTTCATAAACTTCATGCTGGCAGAGAAACTTAAAATAATATTTAAAAATAATGTTTCATTATCATTTACCAAAAAAGATTATTTAATGAATGTTTTTTTTATTATTATTTCTAAAGGGATAGTTCACCCAAAAATGAAGTACTCAGCAGTCTCTGACCTGTCAATCAGACTATAGAGCAGCTCTTTCCCTGAGCAGCACTCGGAGATGAGCACTAGGTAGCGTGGGGTGACGTAGGCCTCATGCAGAGTCATGACCTTCTCGTGGTGGAGGGACTTCAGCATGTCGTACTCCTGTAACACGGCCTGCTTGCTCTCAGGCTCATACGGCACAATCTTGGCCATGTACAGGTTACCGGTGGCATTTTCCCGACACTCTCTGATCACACCAAAACGACCTCTGTGGTGAAGAAAATACAAGGGGATCAATGGCTGTCAAGTTCAGTATTATAGATTTATTTGTCTTATAATAATAAAGAAAAAAATATTGTTGTTATTTTGAAAATAACAGCTTGAAAAGTTAGCTTGAAAAGTGTTGATATTTCCTAAATAAATAAATAAATAAATATCACTTGATATTCTGTAATAAAGTCTAAAAACATTAATACATTTTTTAAATGTGGCTTAAGTGTCCAAAATAAGTGTATTTTTAAGGCCAAAGGCTACTGTATAAAAGAAGTAGTTAACTACTAAGTGTTTTCCACCCTTTGGTTTGTCTTATCTTGCTTAGCTTCCCAGGAAAGCCACTGGTAAAAAAACAAAAACAAAAACAAACAACAACAACAAAAACAAATAAATAAAAAATAAAATAAAACAACAAATAAAATAAATAACATTGTGTAAAAATAATCAAAGTAAAAAAAAGTGAATAAAGAAATAAGCAATCAAATAAATATACACAAATAAGTTTAAATAAATACAACTATAAAATAATAAAATAAAATATTAATGTCAATAAAAAATAAATAAATAAATAAATCTCAGTAAATAAAAGTACCAAAACAATAAATAAACAAAACAACAAAATAAATAACTTAACATAAATACAACTATAAAAAAAATACAATTTAAAAATAATTAAAAAAAATACGCATGACTACAAATAAAACAAAATATACATAAAAATGATAAAACAAACAAATAAATAAAATAAATATATAGGCATCATGAAAACATTTAACAAAATAAAACACTCTCAACAACTTGGAACAGTAATTACATCAAAAGCTGATTTACATTATGACATTGTTCTAGTAAAGTGTTTATCATGTTATGATATCATCTGGATTACTTACAGCTTCTTTTGTATTTGGTGTTGTTTTGATTTTATTATTTGATGTTGATTTGATAAACAGCCATAAATATGTTCTATTGTGACACTGGTATAAGGTACTATAAAAAAGATCAGTCACTGCACTTTACCTTGCTTTCTCATCCATGAATGTGTACGGTTTCTGTGGGACTCCCTGCCTTAGGGTCGAGTCTCCAGGTTTTCCTATAGGGGTCCTGCACCCTGTAGGAGTGATGCGTCCAGAAGGAGTGGCTCTTCCACTTGGAGTCATACGATTGGGTGTGCCAGTACCCTCCCCTATGGGACTCAGACTTGTAACTAACACCACCGGTGGTGACAGGGCAGGAGAAGGCATGTTTGGGGTGACTGGGGTCACATGTACTGTGGTGGTGGTCGGGACATACATGGGCACTGAGGAGATAGGCTTGCCGATAGCAGGTGGAGAGGAGACCAGAGGGGGCGGGGACACCGGAGGAGTTTGAGATGGAGGGGAGACCGCATTCACAGGGGTCTGAGGTTTGGGCAGAACGACGGGTGGTGAGGGTTTGGCAGGAGGAGGTTGAGCTGCAGGGGATGCTGGGGAGGGTTTGGCCATAGTGATGTTGAGAGTAGTCTTAGCTTTAGCTGGGGTAGGAGCACTAGGGGATGGAGTTCGGATATCAGGCACAGAACGATGACTCGGGGGAAGGGCGGCAGGGGAACGTGTCGTAGCTGATGCAGGTGCAGCAGGAGGAGACACAGGCTTTACCGGCTGGACTGTAGAGGGCGCTGAAGTCGCCGGTGGTGCTGCAGCCTGTTTAACGGCAGCAGGCTTCATTGCAGGTAGAGTCATGGTGGATGTTACCACTGAAGGCGCAGGAGCCGGAGCTGATGAAAGCGTTTTGACAACAGCTGTTCCACTGGACTTTTGGGGTGCTGTTGAAAAGACTTTGAATTTGAAAAACGAAGATGCATAGATGCATAAGATCCGTTCAAAATGATATTACACTACTGTTAAAAAGTTTGAAGTGGGTACTAACGTTTTGAATATTTTTGAATGAAGTCTCATAAGCTTGCGAAGGTGGCATTTATTTGATCAAAAATACAGTAAAAACAGTAATATTATGAAATATTATCATTTAAGGCAGTGGTCTCAAACTCAGTTCCTGGAGGGCCACAGCTCTGCAGAGTTTAGCTCCAAATCACACCTGCTTGGAAGTTTCTAGTAATCCTCTAGTAATCTTGATTAGCTGGATCAGGTGTGTTTGATTAGGGTTGGAGCTAAACTGCAGAGCGGTGGCCCTCCAGGAATTGAGTTTGAGACCAATGATTTAAAGTAACAATTTTCAGTTACACTTTATTTTAAGGTGTCCTTGTTACAGTGTAATAACACATTTAAGTACTGAGTAATATTAATTAACCACATGTACTTACTATATGGTTAGGGTTAATATTAGGTTTGGCTTAGGGTTACTTGCATGTAATTATGCATAATATATTGTTATTATAATAGCAAGTACATGTAACGTGTAACAAGGACACCTTAAAATAAAGTGTTACCCAATTTTCTATTTTAATATTTTTTTAAATGTAAGCTGAATTTTAAGCAGCCGCTACTCCAGTCTTCAGTGTCACATGATCCTTCAGAAATCATTCTAATATGCTGTTGTTACTGTCACTTTTGATCAATTTAATGTGCCCCTGCTGAATAAAAAAAAACAAATAACTGACCCCAAATTTTTTTAACAGTATTATATTATATTATTAGATTAAATATATTCATAATATATAATACAGAATTTTGGATCAAATTCACTGTCATTTGGTAGTTTTGTGACATGCCATTTGTCTTCAAAGAACATGAAAAAGGTAAAAGAAACTATGACCAAAAATGCTTTAAATATCGGTACACCTGCAGCAAAAATGAACATGGCTTTGTTTAGTAAATTATTGGCTGCCAACAGCGTAAAATTGTTGAGAACCACTGATGTAGGTAAAAACATTTGTGCACCTGTTGAGTCCAGGACGATTTTTTCAGACAGATTGCTGTAAGGTCCCTGACCAGCCTTGTTCACACAGGCCACTCTGAACCTGTATGCAGCACCAGTTGGAAGGTCCGTGACATTGTAGTAACAGTCAGCCACACCTGTGGCTACTATGAGCCAGTTAATCTCACCTAGGAAAATAAATATTACATTGTTACATGTAAAGAATAAGAATTGGTTGCAACACCCATCTTTTCCAAAAGAGGGCAGTAGAGCTGAAAAAATAATAACTGTCTTTCCTCTACATTCTCCTCCACATTTTTTTTTTTACATTTGAACAAAACATGTAGTAAGAAAATCTAGGCAATTTAGGAAAATCAAGATATTACAGTATTACCATTATAAAACATAAAATTTTTGCTTTTAAAATCAAATTGGAACAGAGCTGACAATCTTTTCAACAATATACTTTAAGAATCTCACTTTAAATAGTCAGTCAAAGTAAGATAAATAATGAATGCTGTTCACTAACCCTCTGTCTTCCTCTCCAGAGAGTAGGTGCATGGTGCCGTGGTGTCTGAGGGTCTCCATACCACCAGAGCGGTGTTTTTATATTTCTGAGGCACCTCAGGAGTCCCAGGACTATTAGGCAGACCTACAAAATAATATTTAGTGTTTACTACTAGAAATTGTCTTGGTTGATATGTCTTTCGAAAAACTGGTCAAAAGATTAGGGTAAATAAATGTTATTTATTTATTTAGCAGTCACATATTAAACTTATCAAAAGAGACAGTAAAGAAATTTAGAAAGTTACAAAAAAAAAACTATTTTAAATACATGATGTATAATAAAATATATATGATAATGTTTCTTAAATGCCAACTCAGCATATTAGAATGATTTCTGAAGGATCATGTGACACTGTAAACTGGAGTAATGGCAGCTGAAAATTCAGTTTTGCCAATCACACAATCACAAGAATAAAGTACACTTTAAAACATACTCAAATACAAAACAGTTTTTTCTTTAATTGTAACAATGTTCCACAATGTTACTGTTTTACTGTATTATTATTATTCAAAAACATGGAAAAAATCTTACCATCCCCAAAACTTTTGAAAGGCAAGTGTGTTACCGAAATTATTTAGCTGAACATAAACAGAAAACTTCATATTTGCTATAGAAAGTCACATGCTTTTCCACATTTTTGCAATTTACACATTTTTCCTTGACCATGGAAACTTTGCAGGTTAAGGGATATTATAATATCCACATTTCCGACATTAATGTAAGAAAGAAAGAAAGAAAAGAAAGAATAAACAAAACAAAACTGTCTCAGGTAGGGCAACTACGTACATAATATTCGCACCTCTGCTAGCAAGTCACCTTTCCGTATTAATCAGCTTTGTGAACCACAAAAAGGAGAGAATAATTTATGGCCTGCTGTTCTAGGAGAAAATAGCTTTGCACAATGATAAGCAGTGCATTAGCCTGCTCACCATGTTAGAAAGCCAATGGCATTTCTGTTCTCAAGGCTAAAAGAGTTCCTTCCTGAGTCTTGCTGTGATGAGTTATGCACTAACTCTTAAAAAATAAATTTAACTGTTCTTTCACTGTGTCCCACTTTCATCTCTGTTCTAGCCTTTACTTTTCTGAAAAATTCTGGATGACTGCATTGTAGCTCTTCTCTTCTTATTTTGTCCTTAAGGGGTTTTAACAATGACAGCGCTTCTCTGCAACAAAATGATGAGATCACATTCGTTTTCAATGAGAGATTTCATTCATTTTCAGCGACACATCAAGTTTGAGAGAAGTGATGCGTAAAATCGGATGCACAACCATGTCAGAAATTGTCAGCATTCTTGACTAGTGTATTGATGATAATTCTTTTTCATGAAATGATCTATTATGCATTGCTGCAATTTATACATAAACACTTTCCCCAGCAGAATATTTCATTGCTGTGGATAATATCTGAAAGTCTTCAAAGTCTAAATTTTCCTTCTGTTTTGTTTTCTCAATCTATTTTTCATTTACCCATCTATTCTCCTTCCTAACCAGCCAGACTTTTACTTCCTCATTAGCTTTCTTTCTGATTATTCTTGTCTTAAACTTACGAGCAAGGGACACAACGCATGAGCTGGTGACAGAGGCCAGTGCGTTTGAAGCCACACATTCATAAAGCCCTGCATCCTTCTTGGTGGTCTTCATAATCATCAGCAGCTGTCTCCCGTCAGGGCAGGATATCATGTTCATCCTTGGGTCTATCTCAAGTGGCTTCTTATCTGAGAATACACAAAGTTGAAAAGCAAAACTGTTAGTTGGGAACTTCAACTTTTTCCAAAATCATAATCTCAAATCCACAACCTGGTGTGCTCTAATGTTAATGTTGACATTTTAGACTTTGACTTTGGTGTTGTTACTTTGAGGTGACATTTACTTGAAAAGACTGAAAAGAGATCCTTCTATATATAGCCAAAAAATAAATAGGTTTGTTTGTGTCCGCACAATTGCTATTAATTCATCTAGAATTTATGGTTTAGTGCAGCACAGATACTTTTAAAGAACAATATACCAATAAATATATGCGTTTAATCATTTTTTTAACTCTCAAAGTACTCCGTATTGGCTGAGACGGTATAATGTGAAAGAACTCATTTCTACAGATACAACATGAAGCCAATATAGGGAGATAATACACTTACAATTACTGCAAAGTTATTTTATATTCAGTATATTCAGTTAAGGATATTGCACTCAATTTAGGTCAGATTATATTATCTTTAGTCCCATAGAAGCTTATATTACAGTTTGAATCAGACCTTTCATCCATGAGATGCGTGGGTGAGGACTGCCAGCAGGGAGGCAGCTGAGAGTAACGGGATCTCCCTCCAAGAGAACGTGGTCCCTTAGTTTGATATGGAACACAGGAGGGAAGTCTAATTGTTGAGAGAATCAGTGAAAAGATTAGTGAGACAGGCACTATAATTTATCTCCCACAGCTGTGCCCAAGCAAGTCCATATGCATAATTGATTCATTGATGATACATGTAAATCTTTATAACAAGACCGGATGTAATCAAATAGGTGTCTCCTTTTGTGCACAAGTTACTGTGAAATGCATAAAATGAGATGTGCAATACCAGATGTTAGACGCGTGTACTGGCGAGAGCGGAGAGAGCCATTCTCCCTGGCAATGGAAGCTGGGATGTCTGGTTGGGAAACCGTCTTGTCTCTTTTTCCCCTCGTCAATCCCCAGCGGTCCCATCGTGATCTATGCTCAATTTCTGCACCTGGAAAAAAATGACGACCTTTTAACAACAAGAAGGAATGATCAAATTAAGAGCATTAACCAAAAAAAAAAATGTGCGTACTTTTAACAGCTGATTCTGGTTGGATGCTTGACATGGAATCGAGTGATTCTGATGACGTCCCTTTCCCTGATTGGGCAGCCAGTTGGTTCTGTGGGACACCCATCCTCTTCAGACTGCCACCTTCTGAGGTGGAACGACGCAGTTTTGTGAATATAGGTGTCCTCTTCTCCATCTTGCTTTCATTATCGTCTTTCCTGTCCTCAGAGTGGCTCCTAATCCTTGTGGATAGGCTTGCCATGGTACTGCCGATCTTCTTGCGCATGGCAAGGATAGGTGACTCTGAGGGTGCTTTGGACTCAGGCTCTGGGGGAGGCTCAGGACCTCCATCCAACCTCACCATCTCAATCTCTTTCTTTTCTTGGGATCCCCTCCGTCCCAGTGCCCAGGACAGACGACGCCTGGGTGCTGAAGCTTCCTCTTCTTTGAGCTTCTCTTCCTGCCTCTCTACTGATGGGGTTCTTTTCAAGCGCATTGAGAGTCTCCTCATGAACCCAGGGTCCTTCTCCGCCTCACGAAGATCCTGAACTGACTTGGACTTCTCCTCCAACCGCCTTGGAACAAATTCTAAGGGTGCACCAATTGGCCCTGGGCGATACATTTCTTCTGCAGTTTCTGGAGCAACGGTGGAAGGCTTTTCTTCAGTCTTCTGGAATGAGAAGCGTTTAAGACTACGAGTTAGAGAGGACTCACGCTTCTTGAAGCGAGCTTCAAAGACCTCCTCAGATGCAAGGTCCTGAATGTTGCTTCCAGTAGACGGCTCTCGCTCAAGGGAGGCACGAGTGGGAGTCTTAGGAGGACTTGGCTCTTTAGGAGGATGTTCTGTTGAGGCAACCCGAGAAAAGACTGCAGGATGTTCAGTGGTTTGGCGAAGGTCTGGTTTGGATGAAGAAGTTGACAAAAGGGTTGGTTCAGAAATGTGTCTGGAAATGGGTGCATAGACTGGAACTGATGGTGGGCTGGTTGTTGGTGTAGGTGTAGGCACAGGAACAGGATCAGGTTGGCTAGATGCATAGACTGATGGTACCATGATGGTCTGCATGATACTAGCATATGCAGACACTCTACCATCTGGGAGCACTGTATGTGCAGGGAGTAATGGAGTCACATAGGATGAGACGACACTCTGGGGGCTGGGAGCTGGGGCAGCTGTTGGGGTCACCGTGATTGAGCTGGTGGTAATGGTGACCTCTGGAGACTTTGGTGATGCCTTTACATCATCCTCAACTTCTTTAACCTCAATCTCTGGAGCAGGAGGCTCCACTTCTTTCTCTGGTTCTTTATCCTCTCTTTCTTCCTCTTCCTCAATTGTTTCCTCTACTATGGGGGTCTTCAGCTTAATTTCATCCACTTTTTGAGACTTTTCACTTGGCTCCTCTAACTTGCTCTGGACCTTCTCTTGTGCATCAGTCTCCCAAGATTTCTGATCTACACTTCTGGATTCATCTGCATTAGTTTTTGGCACAACAATGACTCCTTCGGATTTATTGTCCTTGTAGACAGCTGACTCTTTTTCCTCAATTTTCTCTTTCTCACGTCTCTCTGGTTCTGGCATATTAATTTTTGGGGTGATGGGGCGAGAATCCTTGACTGGCTCTGTGAGAGCAGACATAGAAACAGCTTCCTGCAGTCGTCTCTCTTCTATTTGTGCCAGTGGGATCTCTAGAGGTGCTCCCATCCGTCGGTGCAGGGGCATGGGCTCTGAATCACCCTGGCTGAAGGAAGCACTCTTGCGGAGTATCTTGGTCTTTGGGATATCCTCTCTAGGAGACTCGCTGGATGCCGCTCTAACAAGAGGAGGGTTACCAAGGCGAGACCCCCGCACATAGCGCTTCTCATCCCCCATGCCTAATGTCTCCAGCAATGGGCCTCGTAATCCGCTCATCTTGTTGTCTACAGAGCCACCCCTGAGAAGTCTCTGCCTCATAAGTTCCAATTTCAGGGCATAGTCTTCCTGGCTCAGCTTTGCAGCTCCTGGACTTGGGCTTCTCCTTGGAAGCTCCATAGATACTGACTTTTGTAGAATTCTACTTCCATCGGTAGAGCTTTCTTCTGTGCCCTCCTCTGGTTTGATGTGGAGCTGTAGGGCACTGTCAGCCGAGCTCCCTCTGCGCAACTCTCCTCTGCGACGTGCTCCCTCTGGCTCATCTGACTCCATGCTTGAACCTCTGCGCATTGGTCTCTTTGCGTGTTCTGCTCTTTTGGCCAATTCTGCTGGTTCTTCATCAGATGAGCCTTTTTCATCATCTTGTGTTGACCTCTTCCTGGCTCTACCCCTAGCAGCTGCATCTCCACCCTCTTTCTCTGACATCTCCACTTCCATGGGCTCTGACTTCTGATGGCTTGAAGCAGGCCTCTCAGCATTTCCATTCGGTCTACCTGTCATTTCATCATCCCCTACAATTTCAGTCAGTGACATTCTAGAACCTGAGAATTCCATGTTTATGGGCATTGGGATAAAAGGCAGCTCATCAATGTCTTCATTCGAATCTGAAGATGATGATGGTGGTGGTGAGCCTTGTTTCAGATGTCGTGGAACAGCAATGGAAATGTGGCTGGAGAAGTCATCCAGTAACTCTGGTATAGACCTCATCATCATCTTAGATTTATAGCTGATAAGGGATCGCTAAAAGAGATATGTGAGCATTGTTACAATGACATACTAAAATAATCTATAATGTATTAAGCACTGAACAAAATCATTAAAATTATCTTACCTGCCATTTTCTTCTGGACATAAACTTTTTGAGGGACTCTGTGCTGATGCTCTTACCCTTATTCAGGGTCTAAAAGAATGAAATATGTATTTTAACAATCATGGTAAATAACTTTTTCCATTAAATACTTTGATCTAAAATGTTTAAAACTTAAATTAACTTGATGCTGTATTAGTTTAAATAACATATTTGGATAGCCATGGGTCTAAAGGAGCATTTCTTTACTCTTCTACTCTGTCGTTACCTTGAACCAGGGGTGCCGAAGACATTCATTAGCATCGGGTCTCCTGCAGATAAAACAACATTAAACAAATTGCCAGTTAACACAAAGCGCTCATAGCAGTAGAAATAATTTTCTCGACAATAAATTATCAACAGTGTGGTGTGGTGCTGCAGATAAGCACCGTAGATTCCACTTACAATCTATCAGCCACCAGCAGTTTAATGACGAATCCCTTAGCTTCATGGCAGAGGTCGGTAAACATGCTTTCTTCAAAAGCTACATTATAGTTCCTGATGTTGAGAACAGAACTGCGGTCGTTTTCTCCAGCAAAAGGAGAAACTCCAGTGAGACTGCAAAATAGAGTTGTTTGTTGAAGTCTAACTGAAGATACTGTATTAGTGATGAACATTCTAAGTAAACATATATTTTTATAATATATAACATAATATAATGTAAAATTACATAGATATTTTTATTCTAATAGACACAATTGAAATAATCCTACCATACGTATGTTAGAACTCCAACAGGCCTGTAAGAAAAAAAAGTTGAATTGTGAGGCACTAATGTATTCATGATACTTTAGAGGCTGCATACAGATTTGTTCAAGAGCTGTTTTGTGATGGAGGGACCAGGTGCATTACCAGATGTCCGTTGCCTTGGAGACGGGTGTCTGGTTAACAATCTCTGGGGCGACAAATTCTGGAGTGCCATATCTGCAGTACTGTGCCTCATCAGGCGTGAACTTTACAGCATTTCCAAAATCACATACGCGGATCTGATCACTACTAGGGTCTGTCATGAGGATATTATCAGGCTGAGCAGAAAAAAAAGAGGAGTCTAGTCAACACATCGTTTCCTTACCATGATTATTCCTTACTTATGGAAGTAAATGGTAATGACAGCAAATTACATAACATTTACCTTTATGTCTAGATGAAGTATATCATGCTGATGAAGATAGCCAATACCCTCCAACAGCTGCCTCACGCTGGATCGGATCTGCAGTAAACAATTCAGACAGTTTAGGGACACACGTCACTTTTGCTAGTCCTGTCCCTACAGAAATTCTGAAAAGAATACATTCTTTATCCTCTCGATAACTAGGAGATGCAAAGACAAATGGCCCACGACAAACCAAATGTGACAATAGTCTGCTCAAACATTTGAAACTTTTCTGGTCACTTTGAAAGGTCAAACTTGTTCACCAACCTCTGACTCCATTACTGTTGATTTCTTTGTAAGCCTTTCGAGAAGCTCCTCATGGCATCTTTACACATTGTCAAGGACAATCACAGTGATGGGGCAAAGCTTGTGATCAACTCATCATCACTACAACGTGTGAGAGGAAGTGTGATTGTGCCAGATTGGATGTGAGATAGTTATACAGATAGTTATCACAAGTGAAAATGCATCTATTTTACACACCATTTCATTTAAAAAAAAATTTTCATCGCAAATTATAATCACAACAGTTTAAGTTCAGTGTTCAAATAAAAAAAATTTACATGTCTTAGTATTTGGTTTGTTTTTCTTTTGCAGTCTAGAAATAGTGCATAACCTCAATATTTCATATTAATTTTACACACTTTTTTGTGTTTTCAATTTTTCAAAAGCCTTAAACTTTCTGCTCAAATTTGATTTCAATTCTAGACTTTTAGACTCCACTGTGTGATTATATCAATTTAAGTGCATGTTTTATGTAAGATGTCCTTTCTTTGTGTGTCTTCCCAAGAGACTTTGCCCTGAAGGACACATAAGTCAACTATTTGTGACAGTCAAAGCACAGATGGACTGAAGCAATACACACCGGAACGATTCTAAGGCAGTTGTGAATATATAGGGTACAGATTACACAAGAATCTGTAGCAACTCTCAGCGCAGAAGGGCACTATTCATCTGTACGTCTGACTCACAATGAATGAACTACAAGATGATAGTTCATCATGACAAACTTTGAATGTCACAGAGTTCAAAATAAAACTTCATTTAATTAAACTTGCTTTTTTGGCCGGCGATCCTTAAAGCTCTCAGAGAAGTTAAAGGATACAGCTCTGTAATGATGATAACAGCATTCTTCTTCTCGAAGGCATCGTGAAAGTAGAGGATCCTCTCATGGTCTAGATGAGACAGGATGTTCAGCTCTCTCAGAGCGGAGGCCTTCCGTTTAGCCCGAGCGGAAATGAACTTGGCTGCATATTCAATCTTTCCCGCTTTCTGTATCACTCGTTTCACATATGAGAACGCCCCTCTAAGGAAAAAACATTTCTCATCAAATCATAGAAAATAGAACATTTGTTTGGGGAAAAAAGGTGAACGGTGTTTTAACAGGTGTCAACAGCAAACTAACTGATAATCAGTGGAGCAATAGCTTAATTCAGTCAATGAAAAGAATATATGAATCATCAATGCTTATTTAATTTAAAAGTGAAGTGTACGTCACGATTTCTTTGCATGTCACTAGCAGCACAGAAATTACACTCTTCACTTTTAAAAATGACCAATATAACTGAATATAGATTTACTGCAATTCACAGTAACATGACTGTGTAATACCTATTTATTGCATTACTGCAAATGGGTGTTTAACTGCTATTTTTCCTGTTTCGTTGGAGTTTCTTGCACAATACCAGTCCATCAGTTAACTCTGCTCTTACCCCCATACTGTAGTGTAATTGTGTTCACCTTGTCTCACTGTAGGCAATACTGTGTGTTTAATAATAGCTCTGTTCCAAAACTAGTGAATTTCCTTGCCATTGACTGGGAAGCTGTGATTTGGGTCACAATTTGTACAAAAACTCTTTATTAATCAATTAATTTCAATAGCATGTTGCTAATCTTATGATCTGATATTCAATAGGAACGCATAAAAATACACTACCATTCAAAAGATTGGGGTCAGTATTTATTTTATTTTATTCCCAATTGTAAGTCGCTTTGGATAAAAGCGTCTGCAAAATGACTAAATGTAAATGTAAATGTATTTATTGACCAAGAGAGAGAGAGATTCAGTCAGGACAAACTGATCAACAGTGACAGAAATGTATCACGGTTTACATAAAAAATATTACCAGTAAGTAGCACAACTATTTTCAACACCGATAAAAATAAAAAAAACTTTCTTGAGCACCAAATCAGTATAATAGAAAGATTTCTGAATGGTCATGTGACACCGAAGATTGGAGTAATGGCTGCTGAAAAATCAGCTTTGCCATCACAGAATTAAATTCCATTATAAAATATATTAACATTGAAAAGAGATGTTTAAACTGTAATAGTATGTCACAATATTACTGTTTTTACTGTATTTTGATCAAATAACTTCAGCCTTGGTGAGCATAGGAGACTTTCAGAATATTTAAAAATCTTATAGACCCAAAACTTTTAAACGGTAGTGTACATAAAGACAAATATTGTGAAAAATACTCATTTGTGAACATTCACATCAATCTTTTTTTAGTAATGAATGAAATGCATATTTATAACCAACTTTTTTGTTCACCATCTGTGGTCAAAATGTTGCCAAAAGATACAAGGTATCAAAGAGTGCACCTATGATGCCTTAACATCCTTTTAGAGCAGACAGCTCACTAGGTTTCGGAAAAGAGCTATTATGCGTGTAGAGCTGTAGCATGTGTCTGTTTGCAGCGGGTTCAGGGTCTTAATAGAACGGTGGCAGTCGGCCATAAAGATTATAATTAAAGCACAGAAAGAGCGACAGCATGCAGAGCAGAGATACAGCGCCACAATGGCTGCACTCCTCTCCGCCCAGTCGAGCGCTCAGTGTACCATTGTGTTAAACAAATAACCCTCCCTTTCAAATTTGATGGTCTTTATATATTAAACAGCTTCAAAGTCGCATTGATGCTAATCTGACCAGGTTCAAAACTGACATGGTTTGAGGAGTATGATGAGCATATTGACTGGAGGTGTTGATTTAATTGCATAATATATTGATTAATTAATTTAGATCAATATTTGCATACGAAAACCCCAAATAAAGACCATTAAAAGACATTGCTGTGGAAGATAAGTGAAACCCTGAATATGCAAATGGTTTTAGATGTATCTAATGTACTGTTTATGTCCATATTACTGAACATACTGCTTTAAACAGACAGCCCTAATATTTATATTAAGGGCTTCTGGGTAGTTACTCAGTACAGAAGCTGTGCAAACCTTGTCTATATGAGGCACAGAGATCCCATTTTTTACAACTTGAGAAAATTTGAGAAAGGGTCTTGTGGCCTCTTCTGAAGTGGCTGAATCATTCTTTGATTGTGGAGCTTGAAATCGCATACTTCCCTATCAAAAGTGCATTTTCAATAATGTGCCAACCCTTTCCTCAGCTGATGCTTTATTAAACCTTAGACGTGTGTGATGAGTCAGAAGACCTGAGATCTGTCAACAGCGAGAGCTGATGGAGTCGGCTTTTTGAGTTTCTAGGCCGACAGAGGAAATCAGTAGAGATAAATGGTGCATGTCCAAGTGAGGCTCTGGGCGGATGACTCACCTCCCAATTTCCTTGTGCACGTCATAGTAATCAGTGAGCCTACGCATCTTTCTTAAGATGGACGCCTCATCCTCCATGGGGTCGTCTTTGTACTCTTTAGCTAGACACAGAAATTACAAAGTTAATTTCTAAAAGCTAGTCAAATGAATTGGCAAGTTTTGTTTGATCAGGCTACACATACACTATAGGTTTAATAAATTTTTCTGAAACATTTCAACACATTCACTACCATTTTAATATACACAAATATATTTGAATAAATACAATAAATGTGTATTGTTTATTTTATCCACACATATTTTTTTTTATTTACAGTACGTACATAAATGGTTTGAAAACGTTATTGTATGATTGTATGTTTTGTTGTGCTTTGTTAACATTATTTTCTATAAAGTTGCTTTAGAACAATATATATTTTCAAAAAAAGCTAAACACATTTGTGCAATTAATTCAAAAATATATATTTTTAGATAATATTTTGAAATAACATAAATTATTTATTTTAAACACATTTATATGTTATATATGTTAATTAAATTTTTACACATAATATTTCTCATTCAGCATAAATGATACAATTTTCGGACTTTTTGATATTTGACTGATATTTTAGGAAGGGGTCACTTGCAACAAAAAAATTCCTAATCGTAATCTTAAGGAAATCAATAGTATCCCCATAATTCAGAAACTCATTGGAACTGGAGATGGACAAGGGAATCACCCATACAAAATGTTATATTTGGCCCCATGACAGTGCTGGATTTATCGCTTTATTCCATGTGCTTAGAAACAAAACCTCCTTCATTAAAGTGAAAGTGCTTACCGATGTGGACAGTCAGCTCAGCCTTGCAGGACACAGAACCGGCCAGATTCTTAGCAGTACAGGTGTAAACTCCTGAGTCATCGGCTTGAGTGTTCAGTACCACTAGAGAACATTCATTGTCATCGTACACAAATGTGAAATGGCTGCTTTCGGACAGCAGGGTGTCTCCCTGAAAATCAGAGAAAAACAACTGAGTGGCCATCCAACTGTTGTGATTTGAATTTAAAATGCTTTTGTGTGGGTTTGAGGTGAACAGGGTAGTGACGAATTAAATAGAAGGCAAAGCCTTGAGGCAGTAGATGGGATATCCAACCGTACCATTCAAAGCATAAATTAGCATGATTTACAGGATGTGATAATGCTCTCAGGGATATGGCTGAAGGAAATATCAGGCAAGCAGTGTTAGTGAGAGATCAGCGGGTGGAAAAGGGGCTGACATGGTTTGACTTCAAGATCTGAATAAAAGTCAGATCTACCTTTAAAGTAAGTTTTTCCAGGTGTACATGGGAAATAGAAAAGAGATGAACCCTCAGCTAAACCCTCAGTGACTAGAATTGATATGAAAACAACAAACATCTACCTCAGCATGAGTATCAGGAACGGCTTATGGTGAAACAGCAAGAATTTTTGGCTTCAAAGAATTGGGATTTTTAAAAACAAATCTAAAGCACAAGCGTTCCTAGTTGCCCTCTGTAACATTTTTAAATGTATTTTTATATTTATAATGGTACCATTATAAGTGGACATTTTTGTACTTACAATGATTTTTCAAATTAAATGGGCTATTTTTTTTTACTACTATTTATAAGGCGACAAGCATATATATATATATATATATAAAGGCGAGTTTGTTGAGTATTATAGGTTTTCACTGCCACAAATGTAGATTTATTAAAAGAGAACCATATTTAATAGAACATAAATCCTCAAAAACTATTTTCTAATTAAATGGTACATGCACTACAACAAAAACACACACCTTATACCAGAGGATGTCTGGGACGGGCTTTCCTTCAACCACCACCGCGAAACGAGGAGTCTCACCTACATTCACATCCAGGTCTTCCATGATGGTCTCAAAAGTTGGCGCCACTAGAGACAGAGAAATCAATGAGACTCAGATTATGTGCAATAATAACAGAAACACATACACAGCAACGTACCTGCCATTTCCAGGGTTAGGGTGCATGTGTCGCTGCCATACTTGTTGCTGGCGATAGACGTGAGCTGACCAACATCACTGCTCTTTACCTTGCATAGCTTCAGCGTATGCTGGTCATCATCAGGCATGCTCAACTCAAACAGACCCGGTCTGTTAGACAATGTCACTGCCCCCCTGAAAATATAAAGGCAGAATAACTACTGGTTTTCTTTTGGTCAACTACATTCATGTCCTTGCAAAAGCAAAAGGATGGTGTTGATATTTTAGGTTATATGACTATACATTTGAATAGATGCAAGAAACAAAAGACCGAATGGAATTCAGTATGCAAATAGGTGTAACTCTGAGAAAACTGTTTAGGCATTCTGAACAAACCCTAACAAAAATATTTGAGGAATACTAATACAGTGCTGTCTTAAATTATAGCATCAAAGAATTATTAGCATAGGAAAAACTTGCACTGCACGTCTAATCAAAGTTATCCTGGGAATCATGATTTGAAAAGGATAGGAGGCATGAAGCAACGACTTATTTTTTCTGTTCAAGACACAAAGCTGTTGTATGGATACAGAAGACTTACAGCAATGCAAACGAGTCATATGCACACTACTATAATTGTACTTTTTGTGTATTTTGAGGCTTGTAATTATAAACTCCCACTTTTCATGTATGTAAAAAAGCAACTCGGACATTCTTATAAATTTCTCCTTTTGCATTAGATTTAAGAAACAACATGAAGAAGTGTAAATGAGTAAATGATGACCGAATTTTCATTTTTGAGCATTTTTATCATTTAAATTTTGCATAATTATTAGGCATAGCAAAAAAGCATAAGATCTGAAATTGATTTAATACAATCAAAATGCATTTGCAGAAATGACAGACATTTTCTAACTTCACTCATAAATATCTGAAAATTTATAAAGTTAAAAAATATGAATATTAATAGCTTTTGAGGCATATTAATAGATCATAGCTACAAACAATTATTAACACAGGAACAATGGCACTGAATGTCTATATTTGTGTCATCTATATTTGCCTTTGTATCATGATTTGAAAGGGTGGAAGACAGGACTTTTATTTAATAATCATATGGACAAATATTATGGTGCTTTTTTATCTTAAAGCTCACAAGTATACATTCCTAACCACTTTTATTGTATGTAAAAGAGCAGCTGCTCAGACAATCTGCTAAACATTTTTTGTGTGTGTGTTTGACAGAAGAAACAACATGAGAATGAGTAATTGATGAGAGTATTATAATTTGAGCAATTTATGCCTTTAAGTATTGTATCAACAGTTTCATAAGTTACGTATAATTATTAAGCATAGCAAATACGTATAGCCATTCCAAAATGATTCATTGCAATCAAAATGCAAAATACCTCTTCCATGTGACTGATGCATTGACGTGGTTGAGAGTGACTGTGATGCTTAAGGGCTGCTTCTCCACCATATACACAGTATCCGGCTTGTCAATGAGTACAGGAGCCTCCTGGAGGTACGGACCTGCAGACGGAGAGATAAAAGCCAGTCTCTTGCAGTAACTCATACATCTCATTGACCCGTCTGACTGTGGCTGTCCTTGTCTGCTGAGGCATACCTCTATCTAGCAGCTGCACTGGCTCGGTGGCAGGCGATGGCTTGCTAAAGGCCTTGCTGGTGATTGATAGCACCCTGAAGGCGTAGCGGACACCTTTAGACAGATTGGTAATGGTATAGATGGTCTGTTTCAGGCAAGAGGCGATGATGGTCCACTGGATCGACCCTAGAGCTTGCTGCTGAACAGCATACATCAGGGAGCTAGGATCTGGAAATAAAAATAAAAATCTTTTTGCATTAAGTTTGAAAGCCAAAACCAAAAAAGGAAATCTGATTACTTCCGATACATTTTTCAAATACACTGCAAAGAGAGGAAACAGCACTTGACAATATGGAACAAGGACACATGGCTTAGGCAGTCAATTCAGCAGTAAATCTGTGATTGTTTCCAACAACATCACCAAGACATAGAATATCTGTTGGAAAGCAATAAATAAAATGTTACGGTACCACAGTGCTAGTAAACTATATTTAGCTGGTGGCCATACTTGGAAATGTGTTAAGGAAATAAGAGGAGGTCAGGTTAATCATCTGTGATGTTATCCAACTAGCGTCACCACACTGTTGCTCTATCAATATTTACTGTATGCTGAGAGAGTACATTTAGTATAAAGAGAGGATGCCAATAGAGCGACTCTTGGAAATAAAGATCACAAATGTGACCCTGGAGCACAAAATAGCACGGGTATATTTGTAGGAATAGCCAACAATACATTGTATGGGTCAAAATTTTCCCAAAAATCATTAGGATAAGTAAAGATCATGTTCAGATTTCAGATTTTCAGGCCAAATATTGTCCTATCCTAACAAACCATACATCAATGGAAAGCTTATTTATTCAGCTTTAAGATGATGCATACATCTCAATTTCATAAAATTGACCCTTATGACTGGTTTTGTGGTCCAGTTTCACAAATGATATCTCTTTAATGGAAAAGTTCACCCAAAAATGACAATTTTGTAACTTATCATTACATATTTGTTAAATTCAATCATTTTTGTTACACAAAGCTGTCATATGGCTTTAGAAGACTTAAATACAGTGCAAAAGTTCCATATTTATTATGCTTCTGTGGTGCTTTTGAATCATTTTTGAAGCTTGAAAGCATCTGTTTCTATTCATTGAAATGACATGAAAGACAACAGAATATTCCTTTATTGTCAAACTAATCCTTTAATATCTATATTTCTTCAAGACCACAATAAGATTAAGAAGAGAGCCACTGGTCACAAAACAGAAAGTCCTGTCCCAAACTCACACTATTGGTTGAGAACCTAATCAAGTTGCACTTCTGGTGCAATTAGTGGTGCAGAAATGACACATTTAAATTTTAAGAGCCTTGCTTCACTGGTTTTGCACTTAAAAAACTCCCAATAATTTCAAATTTGTCTTTAGAGTTTCAGATATGTCAACATTTGTGTCTATTTTCATTTCCCCTAAAGTATTTTAGGGAAGCATCTGAGAAACAATGGATATTTTAAATCAAACATAACTGGGAACGCCATTAAGAATAGCTCTATAATCCTACAGCTATGAAAGAGCAACCACTGACCAATTAAAATGTTCCTTTGGGGAGCTTCAAACCTTTAAATGAGAATGCTACAGTACAAGAAGAGTTTCTAAATTAAATGAATATATATATAAATAACATGCATAATTATACCAATGGACGGATCCAGTCTTCTGGGTTTCCTCCAGCTTAGCGTGATAGTCTTGCCAGTGATGGACTCAATGACTGGGGCCCCATCTGGCGGGTCAGGAAGGATGTCTAAAACGGCAAAAGTGTCAGTCAGAATATTTATTTGGTGCCAGAGGAGTCTCTCGCTATTTTTCACACATGCACACATATGCTTCAGCCTTAAAATAAATTGTAGTATTGCTTTGAACAGTCTGGGATATGGAAAAAAACCCAGAAATAAGCTGTGGTTATATCTATGGCGCTGATCGGGCTGCTAACTTGGGAGTGTCTAACTAATCCTTTGGAGTAACTCACGTCAGCAGTAGGCACTGCAGATTCAAAGAAAAATATTTTTAAAACACCATTTGACCAATTAATTTAGGATAAATACCAGACAAGGATTTAAAAAATAATTTAAAATAAATTGACTTAAAAAAATAAGAGAGTAGAGCTGAACTAAAAAATATTCCCAACAGAAATCTATAAATATATATGAATTTATTTTCTAAATATAAGAATTTATATAAAATGTATTTATTATTTTATATTAATTAATTTCTACCTTTCCAATCTTGAAAAAATCACATCTATTTTTAGGTTTTTACTCAGGGAACTTGCGTAATATCCATGTTTATTGTGTCAATATTGTGGTTACTGAGCTTTGAAATCATGCTCATATTGTGGCCAAAATATTATCATAATAAATAATAATATAATATATGAAAAACATGCATAAAAAGCTTTTTTTTAACTTACTGGTGAGCTTCTCAAGTCCTTTTGCTTGAAAAAGATGCACTTTTTCTAATGTATTCAAGTTGTCAAACATAGCTAGCAGAAGCCATTGATATATTAAACTCACCTGTCACATAAAGATGGGCATAGCAGGTGGCCTTGCCCACCTTATTGGATATGACACACTTGTAAACTCCTCCGTGGGCATGACAAACAGAGCGGATCACCAGGCTGTGAACATCTCTGACTACAGAAGAGACAACATAGAGAACAAACACTTCATATTCCTGCTATTCCCGACACTCACACTATCATTTCCACAGGGACTGCTTTCCGGAAAAGCTTAGCAGACTGTAAGAGAATTGAATTATATTATCAACTAACTTACACTGTGTCATTTTTCTGTCCTCTGTGCTGTCAATCCTCTTGCCATTGTGAAACCAGATTATGGCTGGATACGGCAGGCCAGCCACTTTGCACCTGAGCACAGCCTCTCTGCCCTCAACTACATCCAGATCGTAGAGCGGCTTGACAAAGTCAGGCATGGTGAAACGTTCCACCTCATTCTCAGGCACCTCAGGTTCCTCGGGAATGGAGGGCATTTTTTCCAGCTTTGCTCTAGTAAAGATAAACCAAAACCATCAAGATGTTATGTTTTTATGCAAAAATGTTTCCATTAAAGAACAGTTTTGGCATTTTAGTCCTTTGATGCTTCACCAGAAAATGAAAACTGTCATCTTAAACATGTCAAAATGCTGTTTTTGTCCATGCACAAAGCTATCGTATACATTCAAAAGATTTGGAATATGGTGCACATGTCATATGGATAACATTATGGTGTTTTTGGAACTAAAAAGCCACACAGATCTATCCTTATATGTGACCCTGGACCACAAAACCAGTCATAAGTAGCATGGGTATATTTGTAGCAATAGCCAAAAATACATTGTATGGGACAAAATTACAGATTTTTCTTTTATGCCAAAAATCATTAGGATATTAAGTAAAGATCATGTTCCATGAAGATATTTTGTAAATTTCCTACCGTAAATATATCAAAACTTCATTTTTGATTAGAAATATGCATTGCTAAGAACTTCATTTGGACAACTTTAAAGGCGATATTCTCAATATTTATTTATTTTTTTTGCACCTTCAGATTCCAGATTTTCAAATAATTGTATCTCGGCCAAATATTTCCCTATCCTAACAAATCATACATCAATGGAAAGCTTATTTATTCAGCTTTCAGATATATGATGTATAAATCTCAATTTCGAAAAATTGACACTTAAGACTTAAGGTTTTGTGGTCCAGGGTCACATATGGAAAAACATTATGTAATGATTTTTGTGTTTCATGGACAAAATAACACCATACGTATGAAAGCTTATTTCCGTTACAAAACAAAACAAAACAAAAAATAAAGGCAATTGTGACTTTTTAATCCTCACAATTCTGAGTTTATATTTCACAATTAAATTTTTTCTGAATTGTTAGATATAAATCCGCAATTGCGAGAAAAGTCAAAATTGTGAGATAAAAAGTCACAATTACCTTTTTATTTGTTATTCCTTATTCCTTCATGCGACTTCTCACAATTCTGACGTTTTTCTTGCAATTGCAAGTTTATATCTCAAAATTAAGACTTTTCTTCTCAGAATTATGAGTTTATATCTCATAATTCTCACTATTTCTTGCAGAATTATGTCGCAATTCTGAGTTGATGTCTCACAATTCTGACTTTTTTCTCGGAATTGTAAGAAAAAAGTCACAATAAATTATTTTTTTTTTCTTATTCCTTATGGTGACTTTTCACAATTTAGAATTTTTCCTGGAAATTGCTAGTTTATATCACACAATTCAGACTTTTTGTTTCTCAGAATTGCGCAATTCTGAGTTTATATCTCGCAAAAGAAGAAGAACTTTCATTTTTGGGTGAACTAAACCTTTTAAACAAGTTCTGAGTGAATCATTAGTCAAAAGGTCATACATTTGAGAGGAAATTGCTGGTCTGGGCTCCTGCACATACAGCTCCGCTGCGCACTCGGCCTCGCCGTGTGAGTTCCGCGCTACTACTGTGTAGAGACCCTCATCTTCATTACTAACATGAGAGATGATTAGTGAGTGCCGTCCTCCTTCTTTCAAGATCCGAATGTCTTCGGTTTCCTCCAGCGGATGATCTGTTGAAGACATGACACACAAATGACTCAACCATCTTGATGTTATTTTACAGGACTGACACTGGGGGGCACTCAAGGGAATTAAGAGTCCAAATACCAAAGTGGCTCCAGATGACCCGAGGAGGTGGTGTCCCGCTGACCTTGCAGTCAAATCGAGCATTACGACCCTCGATAACTTCTAGTACATCCAGTTTACGGGTGAAGAGGGGCTCTATGGATGCTACGACCTTTAGCTTGGCACTAGAGGTCAGCTCCTCTATAAATCACATGACATGTGAAGTGAAATAGACAGTTTAATAAGCATCCTGCAATATGCGCTGATCACGTCATGAAACCTTTGGCAAAAAGGGTCATACTTATAACCTTAGCAACATGTTTATTTATTGGCATAAAATGGGCTGTTTCTTTTGTTGCTACTGCATGTTTGAAGGGATAGTTCACTCAAAAATTAGGACTCGGTCAGTATTTACTCGCCTTCATGTCGTTCCAAACCTGTATGACTTTCTTTATTCTATGGAACACAAAAGAAGATATTTTGAAAAATGTGTTTATTTTGTCCATGCATTCTTGTTTTGGACTGCCTTATCAATATAGGGGAAAAAAACAGTTAAAACATTCTTTAAAATATCTTTTTTGTGTGTGTGTTTAGCAGAAGAAGGTCAGTGGTACTGGTTTTAAATAACATGAGCGTGAGGGTGAACTATCCCTTTAAGATTTCTGAGCGCAACAGTCCACTCTGAAATATATGCTTGTCAAACTGTATAGGCCAGGCTGAAATAATCATGATGATTGTTAAAAATAGTTAAAAAATAGATGATTTTTAATAAATTCAGTTACTTATTTCCAATGTTAGGATAAATCAAAAAGAATATGCAGAGTTGCAGGTGCTACACCAAGCCAAGAAAATGTAATTCCTCATGATACAGTATGACTCGTTTAATGTAATGAGATTTGTAGAACAAATTATGTGTTGGTGTATAAAACAAACCATGTGGACCAATACCAAAGCTGCTCACCTTTAGCTGTGCTCAGTTTGCAGGTGTACGTTCCACTGTCATCCTCATGTACAGAGTTAAGCAGCAGCCTGCACCTTTTCCCATCAAAGTGCATCTTACAGTCCAACAGAGCTGGTTGGATGAGTTTCCCATCTGACAGCCAATCAACATCTGTGTCCTGCGGGCCGATCACATGACACTCGAACAAGGCAGTCTCCCCTGCCTTCACCATCACGTCCCTCACTGGCCGAATGATGGCCAGGCCTGGCTCTATTGGACGAGCTGGAAGAAAAATGATAAGGATCAGCCAAAGAGTGGTGAAGAAAAACATCCCATATAAGGAAATCCAGAGCTCAAGTTTAAAGCACACAAGAGTCTTTGCATGTGTTTAATCTGCTGCAGATATAGGAGACATAGTCTGCTAATAGCATGTGTTGTACAGCAGAGCAGATATATTAGAAGAATATGCTAATACGTTGTCTGTCAGCATAATCCGCTCATGGCTCAGTACGGATCAGCTCAAAATTATACCCAGAATTCCAAATTGCCTGGTCTGAGACTGCATTTTGGCTCTTTCAGACTTAAACTGATCTTAAAATACGTATTATGCCAAGGCTAAACTTATGCATATTATACCAAGGGTGCATTTATTTGATTAAAAAGTAAAAAAAATATTTTATATTAATATAGATTAATAATATTAATATCTATATTATATTAAAATATTAAGATTTTTAAAATGTTTTAAAATGCAAGACTGCATTAAAATCCTGTATTTAGTACATAGAATTGATTGAGAGAAAATTGTACAGCTGCTGGAAAAAAAATCACATTATATTAAATCAAGGTATGACACAATTTCTTCTGTATTCATATAAAAACTACTCACATTATGCATTCAAACACATTCACTGACTTACATTTAAAAAAACTGAAATCAGCTGCTGCATCGATCATTTGAAAAATCATATTTATTAAATATTCAAAAGGTGATAAGCAGTGTTGAGGAAGCTACAAACCGCTCATAATGTAAAGTACTTCAACTACAGTGATTGTCCGGGCAATGAACCTATGAATGGCTTAGTTGTCTCTGCATATTAAGCTGAGCAAGAAGAAAGTATATTAACAATGAAAAATCACATCATCTTTAGGAAAGTATTATCTACATTATTTATCATGCTTGTGATTCCTTAATGCATACAGGCCATGCAACACTAGCTGAAGCCCCTACCTTTCACCTCCAGTTTGCCCTCACACTGTTTAGTCCCATACTCGTTGATGATCTTGCAGGTGTAAACACCAGAGTCTGACTTCTGTGCTGATTTAATTATCATCTCAAAGTTGCCCTCCTCTGTCTCATCGACGATATGCCGTGCACCTGTTTTAATGGTCACTCTGTCTCTAAGCCTGATACAAAGAAAAATAAAAGTTTAGTTATGACTACTTCAAAATGAACAAACAGTCTATACTGTTTAAAACTATATTATGAATTATCTAGACAAATATTTTAGATTTGAACGTACCAATAAAGCATGGGTTTAGGCTGTCCACTCACTCGAACAGACATGGTCACCTCTTGATCCTCTATAACTGTTTGGTCTCCAATAACAACCTGTTATGTTGGTAAATGCAGAGGCTCATTATTGTTTTGTAAATAATACAAACGCCTAAAGGGGCATGTTGATGGTATAAAAAAAATGAGATGGAAAGAATTTTTTTTTAATGCTTTTGCATTTTCTTACAAAACTTTGGCAATCCCCAGAATTTTTAATTTTTTTTGCAAAATATGCAAATTTTCGGTTCCCCTGAAAAACTTTGCATTTGCTTAATAAACATTTGTGATGGAAATAAAATGAAGTTCAAGGATGAGAGCGAATGCAAAGTTTCTTTTTTTGCGAGAGAACCCAAGACCATTTTTTCTCCCACCTTATGTTTTTTCATGACCATTTTTACAAAAATTTAATCAGCATCTTAATGTTTCCAAAAAAAATAGGAATGGTCATGTTTTAGATTTTGGATTATGAGGATTACATGTTTACAATTTTCATGTTCAAAAATAAAATTTGTTCTCTGAATGACTAATTTGCTGTTAAACTCCTCATATGAATGTCTGCATGCCATGTATAATTTAGTTTAGACAGTTTGCAAGAATGTTTAGCGTCCTTGGTATGAAAATGATGGCTGCAAGGTGTTGTGCCCATTTTCGACTCCCTGCCAAATTATTACCCCCCTTGTTGAAATCGCTACCTGATTTCCTAACCCCACCCCTAATCCTAACCCCTCCCCCACACCTACCCCTAAACCTACCAATACTAGGGGGGTAATAATCTGGCGGACACCAAGGTTCCCACGCTGGTCCTGACTGGGCTCTGTGAGAAATACCAATGGGATTGGAGTGGATTTACAAGCAATACTTATAGATTTGCATGTTTACATCTCTACATTTGGGCAACCTTTAACAAGTATAGTCAACATTCATCTCAGAACAATATGACTTTTTGTTCGAAAACAACAACATCACGGATGAAAAATTCACAGAGAATTACTTTTTGCTTTTGCCTCTGACAGAGAGAAATGGATTAGAAAGGTGAAGGATGAAAGACATAGGCTGAATACAAATCAGGATCCCTGAAGAGAAAGGATACTGTAATCCCAAATCCAATCTCAGAAAAGTCCAGTGACAATGTGAATGCCAGTGCTGGGGACAGATCGCTTTCAAAAAGCATCACAAAAACAGAGGATGAAGAAGATTTACTCAGAAGAGTGTCTAACAACAAATTTGTTATGCTATGTAGGAAATTTTAAAGGATTTTCAGTGGCATTCATATAATCATAAGATAAGGAATGGGATTTTAGCTGTGCATTACATAATGGTTAGAGAGTCGGACTCGTAACCCAAAGGTTGCGGGTTCGAGTCTCGTACCGGCAAGGATTGTAGGTGGGGGGAGTGAATGTACAGCGCTCTCTCCCACCTTCAATACCACGACTGAGGTGCCCTTGAGCAAGGCACCGAACCCCCAACTGCTCCCCGGGCGCTGCAGCAAAAAAATGGCTGCCCACTGCTCTGGGTGTGTGTTCACGGTGTGTGTGTGTGTGTTCACTGCTGTGTGTGTGCACTTTGGATGGGATAAATGCAGAGCACTAATTCCGAGTATGGGTCACCATACTTGGCCACATGTCACTTCACTTATGAAGTGATAAGTCAACTTATATTAAGTATATTAAGTAGTATGTAGGTTCATGGCTGTGATGTAAACTAAAAGCTATTGGCTATTTGACCCAGTAACGCTTCTGTAGGTCCTGCTTCAACTTCCTGTTTCAACAAACAGGAAAGAAAACAGCGCTGGTCAAGCCATTTCATAGTGTCTTTAAGATGCATCCATTCAATGTAAAGCTAAACTGCTGATGCTGATTTACAAATGGACATACAGAAATAAGCTACAGAACTGAGAGTCATTCCTTAAGTGAGGTACATGTGTAAACATATGAAACCATTTGCCGTGAGAGGCCTGAAGCCACGGCATGCGGTGAGACTCAGCGATGCATGTACCAGGAGAAAAAAATAGACACAGTGTCTCTTCTTACAACAGCTTAGAGCATATATATTACCGGGAACCCGGGTATGATTCTAATTTCAAAGCAGTAACATTTTTAAGACCACCAAACGGCTCAAAGGCAGTGATTACTTTCACTTTTTGCTAAAGAAAAAAAGAACTAAACTTTTAAAACAAACAAAGCATCCAAAAGTAGCTTAACAAAAAATAGGAAAATAAAAGCTTGGTCAAATTCTGTAATACTGTACCATTCTTTGGAAACCCACCATGCAAATTCTTGAACACAAACTTACCTGGCCCTGCTCCTTCAGCCAGAACTTGGCCATGTACTAAGCCGACACCGAGGTCACCAGCGCATGTTCAGTCCCGACAGTGTTTGTGTTAATATGTCAGCACCTTAGTGAATGCCCCCAGATTTCAACTGGTAATCTGGTGCAGACACTATGTCTTCCGTACCCTCCCTTGCTCTTTCTCTCTGGCTCTCTCACTTTCAATAAGACACTACCTCTCACATTTACATCAGCACAAACAGATGCAGATGTCCTCCCTTTTTTCCATTCAAGTCAAAGGAACTGCCATAAAATACTTCTCATAGCAACCATCCTATTTATATGCCTCTTACAAACTCTGTCGCTTCTTCTGTAGCTCAGCAAACCTACTAGTATCATGAACTGTAAAGAAAATGACTTTCATGCAAGTCTTTCATCTGTCTGGTTCTTGAAATTTCTCAGGAGCAACTGTTAAGCTGTTGTGTCACTGTGGAAAATAAAGACCTAGTTGGCAACAACATTTAATGGCAGGTTTTAACAACCTGCTGTCAATGAAGTAACACAAGGATCCACCATATATGAGATTATTAAGAGATCGTTTCATGGAAGAAGGAGAGCTAAAAATACCCCCGGTATTCACCGCCCTAATAAGGCAAAGCTTCTCTTTCTAACCATTAACACAAATGAAGGTGCACTAGGAGAATATTAGAATATATACTCAGACATCCCCACCAGACAAAGTCTTATTTTGCATTTTCTGCAATGATTCATGGTAAAACGTGTTAAACAAAACCCAATGCAAAAAATTACCAAGAAAATAAATAAATAAATAAATAAAACCTGTATTGTCCACAAAGTAAACATTTGTCTTCAGCTTCACCATATATATAAACACCACAATTAATACAAATCTTAAAAACAGCATAAAAACCAGCATGTAAACATTGTATGTACTGTATATTTCACTGTATTCCCATATGCACATATAAAAATAATAAACTAAACTACAACAGAAATAATAATAATAATAATGAATTTAGGTTAAAAAAACTAGTAAATGAAAGCAACTTGTTTGACTAAAAAGTGTTTTGGCTAACATTTCCAATTTGTCCACATACGTGCTTGCATTTTTAAAAATTTATTATGAGCCAAAATGCAGTTAAACAATTCATATGTTCAATTTAACCTCTGGGTTGCTATGGTAACTATCCAGACGGAACCATGGTTGGAGAACTAGGGAGATTTTATAGAGAGAGGAGAAATCAAAGAAGCACAAAGAAAATGTTCGAGGAGGCACTGGAAAACCAAACAGTGAGCTCGTGTGAGAGCTGGTAGCAAGGAAAAAAAGTGTTATGGTTAATTTAATGACTATTTGTGACCCTGGACCACAAAATCAGTCATAAGGGTCAATTTCTCTAAATTAAGATTTATACATCATTATAAATTAACTTTCCATTCATGTATGGTTTGTTAGGATAGGGCAATATTTGGCCGAGATACAACTATTTGAATATCTGGAATCTGAGGGTGCCAAAAAAATCAAAATACTGAGAAAATCGCCTTTAAAGTTGTCCAAATGAAGTTCTTAGCAATGCATATTACTAATCAAAAATTAAGTTTTGATATATTTACGGTAGGAAATTTACAAAATATCTTCATGGAACATGATCTTTAATTAATATCCTAATGATTTTTGTCATTAAAAAAATCGATAATTTTGACCCATACAATGTTTTTTTGGCTATTGCTAAAAGGGTGCATTTTGCTGTAAGTGTGATTTAAACACCAACACAATGATGCTAACCCCCACCCTGCAGGGCTGCATGTTGACAGTGTGACTCACTGCCTTTGATCCTACTTAGATATCTGAAGGTATTGAAATTCACTCCTCTAATATCCCATACGTTACCCTGCAAACTCCCACATCCTCAACTTAGGCTGCAAACACAATATGCACATGCTTGCTGCTTAAAAATATTTACTCAAAACATTTACATGATTAAAGGGGTCATATGATGTTGCTAAAAATAACATTATTTTGTGTATTTGGTGCGCAAATCTTTCCACATCGTGACGTAGACATATGGGGGCGTGATAGAACGAGCCGTTTTAGGTAGGTGTGGTTGACTCTTAACTTTTATAAAGAATATCTCTTTTGGATTTGAGATATTAGTCTTTGCAACTTTACAGATCTTCTTTATGCACCAAGAGCTTGTAACACTCCAAAGAGAAAGGAAAAATTGAAATCGCATCGTATGACCCCTTTAAAACCAAATATCCAGATTAAGGCAAGTAATACGTTTAAAATTAGGAAAATTAGGAAATCTAATCTCTAACTCTTCTAAAAAAAGATTAAGGGTGTGAATACATACAGCGTGGAAAAACTTCAATGTATTCATTTTCATTGAGAGTTGGAGATTTGCCACATCATGAGTGACAGCTATCACTGGTGATTGCCACAGTCTTGAGCAGAGCTCAGCTTTATGCAAATAAAAAGTGTTGCAGTGTGACTACTAACAATGGGAGTCTGGACAGTGATCCATCAACTGATACAGCGGCTGAGTAGGGATGTCAACCAACCAACAGCAGAACAAATTGCTGTCAGTGAGAATGTCCTCTGAGAAAGGACATCCTACAGTGTTCACCATAAAACACTCACCTGATTTGATGAAAAGAGTAGCGCTGCTGGACATCTCGACAACCTCGTTGGTAGCAGTAACTGTGTATGTTCCTGCGTCACTTGGCTTCGTCCATTTGATGAGCAATGTGTGCCTTTCCCCCTCTACCTTCACAACATGAGTTGGGCTGTTCTTGATCTCAATGTTGTCTCTCTTCCATGTAACTGTATATAAAATACATTTCTTTGCTGTTACATCCCTCCAGTAGCAAAATTGTTGAGGCTTGAAAGTACAGTCTTATTTCTGAGACACTTGCCTTGAAATGTGGACTCAAAATAACTCTCTACAAGGGTTGATGTCTGAAGGCATAGTACTGAATAGCTGACAACTTGTAAGTTAAAGCCTTCACAGACTGCTTTTTTGAGTAAATGATTCAGAGTCAACAGGGACTACACCAAGACTGCATCCCTGTGATGCTCGTGTATTACAGTTTCAAGTCAAATAGGCAAGATGCTAAAGGTGCTGTTTGACGTTATTACAGCATAAATAAAGGACTTACCTTCTGGGAGAGGGGTGCCACTGATGATGCATTTTAAAAGAACCTCTGTTCCAGTAGAGGCCACAGTGTCCTGAAGCGGAAACTCAAACACAGGAGCCTCTAGAGGATCCTCTCCTGCAGACACGTACGAGTCGTCTGAAGATTCTGTAATAGCATAAGATATTTGTCAGATCCAATAGATGTGATATTCCTCAACTTGAATTGGAGGTGCATTGCAAATCAGGTTTGTCTCAGTATTTGTCAAGTCCAAGGTCAAGGAATTGCATGCCACTGGAAATGCCTAAACTTACCTAATTCAGGGGACATTGGTCTTAGTCTGCGTCCCCTTCCTCTGCTTCTTTGGGGTTTTTCTTCTTTAGCAGAGCCACTTTTCACAGCCTTATCAGTCTTCTCTGCAGGTGTGTCTGTCTCCATTGGCTCCTCTTCGACAATAATTTTTGGTATAGTGAGCTTTGGTGCCGGTGGCAGAGGAGTCACATCCAGCTCCATCTTTTCCTCAGATGAAGAAGATGAGGAAACTCTTGGAGGTTTGGTGGGAGCTTGGTCAGGACTTTCTTGAATAGCTACAGTTTCTCTTTGCACCAGAGGACTTTCTGGTCTTCTTTCCAGTTTTCTCAGCGTGACCTCTAATGGTGTCTTCCAATGCATGGACTCATCATCTGCTTGTGGTTCTTCCTGAACATGAACAACCCTCTTTACTAGTGGACTTGCAGGTCTTGGTTCCACTTTGCGTAATGTCATCTCTAAGACATTTCGGGATGGAGATTCAGCTCTGCTTCGAGAGCGCTCTTCAGCCATGGATGTGATCTCTACAGTTGGAGACCTTTGGGTACTATCTCTGCTTGGGCTTGGGCCCCGAAGTCTTGGAGACCTTTGTCCAGGTAAATCAGAGAGTGACATGGCCTCTGGAGGTGATGGTTCTTGTCCAAATGTGCTTACCACCTTGGTGGTTGGGACAGACCGATTGCTTTCAACTTTTTCCAGTGGTTGTTGTGCCAGCTGGTCTTTTCGTCTGCGAAACGGTGATTTTGGAGGTGATCGTTCCTTGGCTTGCTCTCTCTCTCTCATCTCTTGCTCTCGCTGAGCACGCTCTCGATCCTGCAGCTTTTGAAGAACCTGAGGTGGGATGGGCTCTAACTTCCTTACAGGCTGCCTGCTCCTGTGAAAAGTAGAGAGCTGCTCTGTTGAGAAGGATTTCTTCATGTGCGGTTTACCGACAAGCTTTTTGATGCGCTGGAGCTCCTCTGTGAACTTGTTCTCAATGTCCTGCACCTTTTGGGAGTAACGGGGTCTGTCCTCCAGGGAAGCAGCCCGCTGTTTGAACATGGTCCTTCTCTGGGCTGCGTCTGCCTTCAGAGCCTCACGAAGGTCTTCTTTGGAGCTCTCCCTCGAGATCCCCAACCGGCTCCCTCCTTCATCAGAGTCAATAGACGAGGCTCTGTTAAATCCAGCCCAAGAGCGTCCAGATATAGATCCCTCTGGGTTATCGATACTTCTTCTGCGCTCTTCAAAGACACGCACTTTCTCGAAGATCTTGGAGCTAGCTCTTGTCAGTTTTGGTGAAGGCCGAGGTGTAAGTTCCTTACGGGAATACTCGCTGACGGGGGTTTGGGGTCGAGAGTCTTGAGCACTACTCTGAGACATGCCTGAGGATTTGGGTTGCTTTATCTTCTCCTCAAACTCTCCTGGTACTGTGTCTTGATATTCAGTTGGCACGACAACTTTCTTGCGTGGGGCTAGGGGTGTGGCAGGGGCTGAACCAGAACGGCTGAGCAAAGGAGAGGCAGTAGAGCGGCCAATTTTGGGGGAAGGGGGTGGTAGGACTTGAGGGGGAGATTCCCTCACAACTTCTTCAGATGGGCTCCTAAAAGAAGGTGTTTGAGGGAAATGTTCTGTTAGAGTATGGGGTTATGCAAGGGGAGGAGCCCAACTGTTTGGATGACGACTTTGGAAGAGGGGCCAGAGAGGCTAATTTCTCTGATGTGGGACCTTAAATGGGACCGTCTACATGTGTTTGTGTGCAAGTTACTTCAAATCTACTTCTGTTAATGTTTTAATTTGAGCTAAATAATTTGCTTTCTTAAATGAGGAAGGAGTGATGTGAACCTTCATCATTTTCAAATTTCAGGAGAGGTAAATAAAGAAAATTAAAAATGATAATGAGCTTCTGTTAACTGCATTTTCTAATTAGTTATGGTTGACAAATTGAAATATAAAAATAATGTGAGGGGATGTTCAGAGCATGAATAAAACGTATTCCATTAATCTTGGACTGACAGTCAAGAGCACAGTTAAATGTCTATAAGGCTAAGAAATCTGAATTCTGTCTTAAAACAAATTGTGATTTATTTGTCTTATAGTTTACAACACAACTGAATGCTCAAAATTAATGTAATATTAGCACATGTCAGATTAACTTGTGCCTACTAGCCTATACCTTCCAAAATCACTGGGCTAGACCACCACACATCACTGGATATTTACAGGAATAAGTCAAGTGTCACTTGCCAATACTAGGAAGGAAGAGTAAAACAAGGATTAGTGCAGGCACATAACTATTAAATGTTGAGTCATCAAGAACACTGCTAAAAGGGGTCTAATTCAAAATGGCTGTGCACTAGAAAATGTCTGGAGAGCAGTAAAACTTAAACATCCTTCTTGTTTACACAGCACAGACCAAACTGCACTAACCTTGCATAGCTGATACAGCTAAAAGTACTGTAAATCCAACCAATGTAGCTTCCTTCCCAACTGGCAGTTTGACAAACTTATTCTTGTATTCAACATCCAGTGCACTATAATGAGTGAACGTCTCCCATGCAGCATCAAAATCATGCGAAAACAAAGCACAAATCTGGTTAAAACAGAGGGATGATCCTTAGAAATGTGTGATGTTAGTAAAATATGGCAATAAGCAACTGGCAATAGTGGACAGTTTGCTACTTATTCAAGATAAATAAATTCAAAATTGATCTTCACATAGATTTACAGTGTTGTACTTTTTGGTTTTACTTGAGGGAATAATACTCAACACATTACAGTGTTTTAGATAGCACTTTATTTGAGATCATTACCATTGAAACACTGATATTTAACTTTGGCAAAAGTTAAAAGTAAGACATACAATTTTTTTTGCACAGAGCCTTAATCTGTGAACACACATCTTCGAGACTTCTTACAAGATCTATGCCCTCCTAACCTTACGAGTCAAGGCATCATGTACATGCATGCAAGGATTCATGCTGTGCAGTTCACCAAAAACAGCATGCACAAAAAACCAGGGGGAAACCGAAGGGGTCGATGACACCTAACACAAAAATGTGATGCAAGCATGTTTTTAATGCAAACTTTTGGTCAGCTTCAATTTTGCATCAACTGCTGTGCGGGTAGAAAACTAAAAGAATTTGCATATGGACAATGGGGGTCAAAGGAAAGTATGAACTAAATGAAAATAAATCTAGATGAGGAATGATAAAGGCAATAATGGTGCGTGAGGGAGGTGCTGTATTATTCTAAATTCAGACTATAGTTATTTAAGTAACCTCTCAATCTTTTGAGTTGTGCTACATTATTAGTTTATGGTCTGATATTCTATAGTTTTTTATATGTATACGCATACGTGACACTTTAATTTACTATTACTTTTATTATGATGCATGGTAAAATGGTAATGTTTTAGTGACAAACAGAATGAGCATACAGCCAATGGAAGATGCATCACCTTAAGTTTACTCAGCGAATACTATTTTGGAGTTTAAATGCTTTGTCTTCAGATACAACAGTTTGGCCTACAGCAGCACTTCCAGAGAGGATCTATTCTTAGATTCCTTCAGCAGCTCCCGAAAAATTTTGACCTGCACAAAAGGTCATTGTGCTCTCAGCATCTCAGTTTGTACATGATGTGACACATATCTGACAGATTATAAATTGGCTGCTTTAAAGGCCAGGTCATTACCTGACAGTGCCCTGCACCTGCCCTCTCTTAGACAGAACCATGACTTTCTTTAAGGTTATCTTAGTGTTAGAAACAAACAGGAACAACCTGTCATTACCAATAGATCTTGGTTCTACACATTCATGATACAAATGAGCAGCAAATCAAAAGCAGAACCAAATAAAGGGGATGGAAAACAAAAACTAATGGATAACAGTGGGCTTGAAAGTATGCAAAGCCTGGGACTGTTCAATGCTAAACAGAGTGGGATGAAATTTGAAAATCTGGGTTATAATATATTTTAAAAAACTATAATTTGAAGGAGAGTTTGAGTGATATTTGGTTCCAAGAGTGTGACAGTCAACCCTGGCTCAAACATGGATGAAGAAGAGTGCTATGGAGGGATGAATGACAGAAGATACAATCAATCGCCCACTTTTCTTTTCTAACAATATCTATGCTTATACATCACAACCAGTACCCAAAAATAACACTCATTGAATGTCAAATGAGTAAAAACTTGCTTTCATCCAATCATTAACAACACAACATACAGTTTTAGTCAAATTGTAAGAACGATAGTCTGATGTAAGCGACACAAGCGATTCAAATCCAAGACAGACAACCGACTACATAAGAAAACACCTGTCACGAGTCACACATCTTCTTTTAACAAACAACTTTTACAATCAGAAATTTATCTAGAACAACTAAGTTTTTTTTTAATCCAGAACGTGAAATATTTCTTGCATTAAGCCACCGAAAAGAAAATACGAAAATAGTTTTTGTGACATACATCAAGACGGAGACTCATCTGAAGTAACAAAGTATCTGTGCTTTTTATCACTAATAAGCAATGAAAAAGTGAAATAGTTTTGTAATAAAAATAATGCAAAATATACTTTTTCAGCAATACATCTAGAATATTTTAAGGAATATTTATGGTGAATTTTAGACCCTTACCACATCATCACCACAGCAAAAAAAATAAAAATCACTTGAGCATGAAATCAAATCACTTAGATTAGCATAATGTAAAAGTTCTATCTATGACAATGTGAAATTAATATGAGCATCAACTGAAGTTCTTCAGTGTCATTTCGATACAGCTCTCCAAAAATGAAATAATACATGTATATTACAAAAAAAAAAAAAACTTTTGCTGCGCTGCCACTTGCGAATGAGTCATGTATAACTGTACGGCTTTTGGCAGCTCACACAGATTTACACTCTGTGGGCTGAGCTGAACCTCATCCAAACGCAGAGAGCCCACTCACTGTATCTTCTGTCATTCCTGTGGTGATGTAAGCTGCCTCGTGGGGCCACCAAAACGCACGGCTCAGATACCGAGAGAGACAGAGCAGGAATTACACCCTGGGTCTTGTTCTCAGCCCCCTCCCATCCTTAGCACTTACAGGGGACACAATGTTAGAGCAAGGGTCTCTTGTGACTCTGTGATGGGGGCTGTGGTTGTTTATCTATTGATGAGGGATCTTTTTATATATCTGTGTTTTGGTCTGCTTATTGTGGGCTGTGGCTGATTGCGGTTTATTTTAGCTTGGGAAGGTTTACTTACAGGGGTACAGAAAAAGTCCTTCCTCTATAAAGACTGAACGTACTACCATAGTAATCGCTAGCTAAAGAAACACTTTCCTCGGACCCCCAAACCGGTCGGGATAGATTGGCGCGTGATGCTCGAATCAGAGGCTCGACCCCTAGGTGCCTGATCTGGGTGCCCGTCGGCTCCCGGCTGTTGGCTTGCCTGGCTGACTGCGGCCCTGGAGCTCTTGATCCCAGGGCTAGAGCTTCTTTCTCCAACACTGTGGTCTCTCCGGCAGCCCAGCGATCGCTCGCATCTGGGGCAACATCCATCATTCTCTCACCTGCGGCAGAGCGAAACGGGAACAAATAGATCGAATTAAATTTCAGGCAGGATGCTCGACGTCCTAGCGTTCACAAGTTATGGGTGAATTCATCCACATTATCAAAAAACGCTAACAACAGAAATTACTTTCTTTCAACTACAATTTTTCTCCTTTTCAACATAAAAACCACCTAAAAAGATCTTAAAATATTTAATTTCAGGTCATATAATGAGAAATAAAATGCTCCTTGATCTTTAGAAATGATATCATTCATTGTACTAAAAAAAACACTATAACTTTAAGAACTTAAAACTTACTTCTAGGGCTGTCAAAAATAAAAGCGTGTGCTTACATAATATGTGTGTGTATTTATTATGTATATATAATAAATTATGTGTGTATTTATTATGTATATATAATAAAAATTTCTCTAATTTAAACATGGATGTATGTGTATTTATATATACATAATAAATATGCACAGTACACAGACTTATATTATGTAAGCACAAGCTTTTATTTTGGATGTGATTAATAATGACAACCCTACTTGCTTCACAAAAAAAGATTTTTGGAAAAATGACTCATTTTAAAGTTCTGATATCAAAAAACTCAATGGCACAGTTTAAATCTATATTAAATTTGAGACACAGCAAACACACAGCTCATGTGCCACCGCTCTTATTTCACATGCGAAGAGTTCATTTACATAAATGTCTTAAAGGTACTGTAGTAATAAACTGTTAAATTATAATGAAAAGTTAAACTATGACCATTTTGGCTACCAACATTTTAGTTGGACCTTAGATAGATAGATAGATAGATTAGACAGACAGATAGACAGATAGATAGATAGATAGATAGAAAAGGTAATTGGATCTCAAATAAACAAATAAATAAAATCAATAAATGTTATGACTCCTTTAAATTTATAGTGAAGGGGAAAAAATAAAGAAAAAAAGATTAAGAACAAAACTGACACATAAGCCCTTTAAATTCTTACAAGAATGAAATACTGTTTGTTATGGCTAGTACTAGTGGATAATATAAGTGGATTACATGAGCATGCATTCAGAAGTGTGAAGAATAAAGCCCAGGTGATGCCATTCAGCCGCAAGCTGTGTTGAAGCAAAAGTCCCAGCTGATGCCTTTAGAGCCAGTGCGATTCACAGTGACTGAATGGATTAGACTGCAGTCAGGAAGCATCCATCAAAATCAATGACAATGCGCCTCCGCCCACACCTCTACGCCCACCATAACAGATCAAATCAATCACTTATGCCACTACGGAAATCATACGCTCCACCAAATCCTGACACATTTATTTCTCCGGTATCTCTTTGTTGGTGAAATTGTTGACTTTCATTTTGTAGAAAGGCTTTGGATCTTACAACTGTATGCTATGCGCCGTGAAGACATCATTCATAACAGCGCTAATGACAAACAAGCAATTTAGAGTGCAATTCAAGCTCCGTTGCTTGTGGTGCACTTCTCTAAAATCTCTGTTGAAAGCTGCATTGTTCACAAGATAAATGAATTTCAATGTTAGATGCTGAGATCAAAATGGATATTTATATACAGGCCATGCTGTTCTCACACTTCTAATTTCTGAGCTGAAATCGTGCATCAAATAAATATCACTCTATTCCTCTCTTCTATTTTTTAGTCCTCTCTGGTGATGATGAAAGAAATGGAAATATTGTTCACTCAATCTGTAAGTGTCTCAAATACACTAGCAACCACTTTCCCCAGGGGATAACGGGAAGGCTTTTGTCATAATAAATACTGACAAGTGAGAGTTCAATTGCCTAGATTCCACACAGGGACTAAATAGAATCAAGAGAATAGTCTTTGTAAACACATCCCTGCTTTTCTTCTGTTTAATGATAATCTATATTCATGAATTTTATCAAGATTTTTTTTTGTTAGACACAAAAATAGAAAAAACACAACACATGCTCACATGCAAATACCAACCACGTCCAGCCTCCAACTAAGAACTGTTGTGTGTAACACCTTAAATCACATGAAATACATGCAACGTGATCTCATTATTATTCATAGGTTTTCATACTTAAAGCATGGTTCAAGCACGTTTTCATGCATTTGGAAAGACAATAAAATGCACAAAAATGCATGTATGCACTTTACATAACCTGTGTATATGAACAAGATGATTTAAGTATTATTTAATTTATGTAAATAAACATGCAAAACCATTTTATAATGCCTGCCTGTTTAATTCTAATGGTCAAAGAGAGTGTGGAGAATGATCATGAAAAGGTGAATAATGACCATTTTGATATTTTGATAAACATTAGAATCATACCTAAGATTAATAGATAATTAAAGAAATATGAATTGATGAAATAAAGAAAAAATGGGATCTAATATGTATATGTATACACACTTTACATCCGAATACCTATGAATATTTATATTTGATTTGTGGCTTGTTGTTAATGTGAGAGTTTCTGTTTGCTGTTACCTCTTTATTTATACTCCTCTGAGCACCTGTCTTATCAGATCTGTGATAAGACATGCTTAGAGATTTAGCATAATGTGTGATTTACCTGAAGGAACAGCTGTGTAAACACATCCAAAATAAGCAGAATGTGTGATTTAAGTCACTTTAATTTCAACTAACGCAGGTTTTTCAGTAATATTCTACAGAATAACTAATATCATCAATACATTTTTTATTAACATGAAACATTAAATTGTCATTATTTACTCCTCATGTCTTTCCAAACCCCTATACTGTATGCAATTCCTTAAATTGACAGCTAATTGTGACCAACCATGTTAAACCAGGGCTTGAATTTCGGAGCAGGATTGCGCATAATTCTACTGATTCCCGCAGTTTCCGCACTTGTAACGCGGGAAATTCCCGCAAATATTTCAATGTGAAAGACGCTCGCGACAGATGACGGAATGTATCATTTGCACGTGCTTTTGAGTCTTACAATTTTAAACATTCAAGTGCTCAATTCTTCAACATTCAAGTACTTGTGCACTCTGTGACTGTGAGACCCTTTCTGTGAGCCGCCTCACACACAAAGCGAGCGCACATAGAGACGCATCTTTTGCGCGTAAACGGCCAAATACATACAAAAATATGTCAAAGTGCCCGTCTTGATGAATATTCATGTAAACAGTCGATTTATACTAAACATTGTCGGTATACAGGCTATTAAGTTAATGTAAACAGTTGAGAAACAAAACTTATGTGAAACAGTTTGATCCGTGCATTAGGTCTTAAAGAGACAGCGCCCTAAATAAACCTGCTGCTGTCTGTCATTAATGTTTATTTATACATTGAAGACTATCCAGTGTTATTTTAAAGTTAAATACATTATTCTGTTTCTGTGGTATTTCTGTACCTGAATATTACTGTTAAAGGGACAGTTCACCCAAAAATGAAAATACTGTAATTAATTACTCACCCTCATGTCGTTCTAAACCCATAAGACCTCCGTTCATCTTCGGAACACAAATTAAGATATTTTTGATGGAATCTGAGAGCTCTCTGACCCTCCCATAGACAGCAAGGGTCCTTACACGATCAAGGCCCAGAAACATAGCAAGGACATCGGTAAAATAATCCATGTGACATCAGGGATTCAACCGTAATTTTACGAAGCTACAAGAATACTTTTTGTGCGCAAAAGAAAAAAAAAATAAC